TGGAGTAGGAATTTTCAAGAAAAAAATGTCTCGAAAGAAATTTCATTTTTTCACCAAATAGGCTTGTGGGCTCACGAAAAGTTCGGTTGAAAGTGCAATTTCTCATTGCACCGATGGCCAATGAGGGGAAGGGAGGTTGCGTCGGAATCGTGTGACCGAGAGGAACGCCATAGAGTTGGAATTTGAAAGAAAAAAGGTCTCTAAAGAAATTTCATTTTTTCACCAAATAGGCTTGTGGGCTAACGAAAAGTTCGGTTAAAAGTGCAATTTCCGATTGCACCGATGGCCAATGAGGGGAAGGGAGGTTGCGTTGGAATCGTGTGACCGAGAGGAACGCCATAGAGTTGGAATTTGCAAGAAAAAAGGTCTCTAAAGAAATTTCATTTTTTCACCAAATAGGCTTGTGGGCTAACGAAAAGTTCGGTTAAAAGTGCAATTTCCCATTGCACCGATGGCCAATGAGGGGAAGGGAGGTTGCGTTGGAATCGTGTGACCGAGAGGAACGCCATAGAGTTGGAATTTTCAAGAAAAATGTCTCGAAAGAATTTTCATTTTTTCACCAAATAGGCTTGTGGGCTCACGAAAAGTTCGGTTTAATGTGCAATTTCTCATTGCACCGATGGCAAATGAGGGGAAGGGAGGTTGCGTTGGAATCGTGTGACCAAGAGGAACGCCATGGAGTAGGAATTTGCAAGAAAAAATGTCTCGAAAGAAATTTCATTTTTTCACCAAATAGGCTTGTGGGCTCACGAAAAGTTCGGTTAAAAGTGCAATTTCTCATTGCACCGATGGCGAATGAGGGGAAGGGAGGTTGCGTTGGAATCGTGTGACCGAGAGGAACGCCACAGAGTTGGAATTTGCAAGTAAAAAGGTCTCTAAAGAAATTTCATTTTTTCACCAAATAGGCTTGTGGGCTCAAGAAAAGTTCGGTTTAAAGTGCAATTTCTCATTGTACCGATGGCCAATGAGGGGAAGGGAGGTTGCGTTGGAATCGTGTGACCGAGAGGAACGCCATGGAGTAGGAATTTTCAAGAAAAAATGTCTCGAAAGAAATTTCATTTTTTCACCAAATAGGCTTGTGGGCTCACGAAAAGTTCGGTTTAAAGTGCAATTTCTCATTGCACCGTTGGCCAACGAGGGGAAGGGAGGTTGCGTTGGAATCGTGTGAGCGACAGGAACGCCATAGAGTTAAACTTTGCAAGAAAAAAGAACTCTAAAGAAATTTCATTTTTTCACCAAATAGGCTTGTGGGCTCACGAAAAGTTCGGTTTAAAGTGCAATTTCTCATTGCACCGTTGGCAAACGAGGGGAAGGGAGGTTGCGTTGGAATCGTGTGACCGAGAGGAACGCCATAGAGTTGGAATTTTCAAGAAAAAATGTCTCGAAAGAATTTTCATTTTTTCACCAAATAGGCTTGTGGGCTCACGAAAAGTTCGGTTTAATGTGCAATTTCTCATTGCACCGATGGCAAATGAGGGGAAGGGAGGTTGCGTTGGAATCGTGTGACCAAGAGGAACGCCATGGAGTAGGAATTTGCAAGAAAAAATGTCTCGAAAGAAATTTCATTTTTTTCACCAAATAGGCTTGTGGGCTCACGAAAAGTTCCGTTAAAAGTGCAATTTCTCATTGCACCGATGGCGAATGAGGGGAAGGGAGATTGCGTTGGAATCGTGTGACCGAGAGGAACGCCACAGAGTTGGAATTTGCAAGTAAAAAGGTCTCTAAAGAAATTTCATTTTTTCACCAAATAGGCTTGTGGGCTCAAGAAAAGTTCGGTTTAAAGTGCAATTTCTCATTGTACCGATGGCCAATGAGGGGAAGGGAGGTTGCGTTGGAATCGTGTGACCGAGAGGAACGCCATGGAGTAGGAATTTTCAAGAAAAAATGTCTCGAAAGAAATTTCATTTTTTCACCAAATAGGCTTGTCCTCCAAAATCGAAAAAATGGCATTTAGGAAAACTTGCCTTAAATCTGTGATAGTACCCCCTTTGGAATCTGCCAAAAATGACCTGGAAGAAATCCGCCCAAATTGGCGTTTGACGGACTTAATCATCGTTGAAGAATAGCCTCTGGCCGAATCCACCATCTTTATCCTTCAAAATCCAAGGAAAATGGTCTTTCGAAAAAAATTGCTCAAAAAATACGAAAATGTCATCCCAAAGTATATTGGCCCAATTCGGCGATTAATTGACTTAATCATCGGCGCAGAATAGGATCAATAGACTTTATTATCGGTGGAGAATAGCCTCGAGCCGAATCCGTGATCTGTAGCCTCCAAAATCGAAAGAAAATGGCATTTCGGAAAAATCGCCCGAAATCTGTGATGGTACCCCTTTGGAGTCTGCCAAAAATGGACCCGGAAGAAATCCGCCCAAATTGGCCCAGGATGGACTTAATCGTCGTTGAAGAATAGCCTCACGCCGAATCCACCATCTTTATCCTTCAAAATCCAAGGAAAATGGCCTTTCGAAAAAAATTGCTAAAATAATTACGAAAATGCCATCCCAAAATATATTGGCCCAATTCGGTGCTTAATTGACTTAATCATCGGCGCAGAATAGGTTATATAGACTTTATTATCGGTGGGGAATAGACTCGAGCCAAATTCGTGATCTGTAGCCTCCAAAATCGAAAGAAAATGGCATTTCAGAAAAATCGCCCGAAATCTGTGATGGTACCCCTTTGGAGTCTGCCAAAAATGGACCCGGAAGAAATCCGCCCAAATTGGCCCTGGTTGGACTTAATCGTCGTTGAAGAATAGCCTCGAATCCACCATCTTTATCCTTCAAAATCAACGAAAATGGCATTTCGAAAAAATTGCTCAAATAATTACGAAAATGCCATCGCAAATTATATCAGCCCAATTCGGTGCTTAATTGACTTAATCATCGGCGCAGAATAGGATCAATAGACTTTATTATCGGTGGAGAATAGCCTCGATCCGAATCCGTGATCTGTAGCCCCCAAAATCGAAAGAAAATGGCATTTTGGAAAAAATGCCCGAAATCTGTGATGGTACCCCTTTGGAGTCTGCCCAAAATGGACCCGGAAGAAATTCGCCCAAATTGGCCCTGGATGGACTTAATCGTCGTTGAAGAATAGCCTCAGGCCGAATCCACCATCTTTATCCTTCAAAATCCAAGGAAAATGGCCTTTCGAAAAAAATTGCTCAAATAATTACGAAAATGTCATCCCAAAATATATCGTCCCAATTCGGTGCTTAATTGACTTAATCATCGGCGCAGAATAGGATCAATAGACTTTATTATCGGTGGAGAATAGCCTCGAGCCGAATCCGTGATCTGTAGCCTCCAAAATCGAAAGAAAATGGCATTTCGGAAAAATCGCCCGAAATCTGTGATGGTACCCCTTTGGAGTCTGCCAAAAATGGACCCGGAAGAAATCTGCCCAAATTGGCCATGGATGGACTTAATCGTCGTTGAAGAATAGCCTCAGGCCGAATCCACCATCTTTATCCATCAAAATCCAAGGAAAATGGCCTTTCGAAAAAAATTGCTCAAATAATTACGAAAATGCCATCCCAAAATATATTGGCAC